AGGAACAGAGTGTTCATATGCTGGTAGAATTTTTTATTTTAAAATAAAAGGCATGAGCTTTCATTCCCCCAAACCTGCCTACTTTCTCATTCTATTTCCTCTATATGGTGAGATGGAATCCCCTTCACAATCCAACTGCACAGTGAGTTATCGGACAAGAGCACCCATTGTGGTCTCAGAAGCCATCTCAGCCTGAGGCATGAGCTCCTTGGCCAAAAAGAACTCACCCCTGGCTGTCCAGTCAACACATCCATGACTGTGATCTTGGAGCCAATGACTTCCCAGGGCACCCAGGGCAGAATAAGCCAATGTTTTGTCATATGCCCTTCTCAGAGCATAAAGAAGTCCCATCCAGGTCAGTGGCTCCCAAGGAGTCCAGGATGACATTGGTATGGGACACAAACTTCCAAGACCACCTACCTTTCCCTGCCTTTGCTAGTCCCAGCAATCATGATGTCTGCCTTACGTTCAGCCCTATTTGTGTGTTGTATCAATGCCCTGCCCTGTGATGTAAGCTGATTGAACAGGAGACCCTTCTGACCCAGAAGCCACAAATTCATAGGCTGACCAGCCACAAGAAATGTAGCTCAGCACTTGGGGCCAAGCCCACTGGATTCTCTCTGTAGGAAATACCAACACAGAGTCTATTAGCAACAGATGCTGAAACTCAATGGTCAAGCCTCAGAGACCATGATAGGCTGTATTCAGAGCAAAAGTCTAAGAAAACAGAATATTGAGTAAGAAGTAGCCTTGAGGCCAAGGAGACTTAGAATATAGGTAAGTAAAACTATCTCCTGTAACAAAAATAGACAAATGAAAACCAACTCTGAGTGTTTTGGAGGAGTCCCTATGTCCTAATGGAGAGCCACAACCCGGGGGCTTTTGTGGCTCCATTCAGACTCAGCTTGGACAGTAACTGCATGTTGTTTCTCACTGGAGCCTAGTCTGAAGCTCTCTGCAAGTACTCAGAAGTACTTAGAGACTGAAGAAGCAACTTTTACTCCTCTCTCTGCCCCTCTGTAAAGAGGGCTCACATATGTACAAAAAACACTCCCAAAGCCACTGTCTTGCTGCGGTGATGGGGACTAAACCTGGAGCCTCCACAAAATTTTATGGTGCTCACTCACCATTGCGGAGAATAGGGCCAGTGTGCCCAGGAACTGAGGGGTTCCCTATGCCTCCATTTTCTTTTTCTTCCCTCCTGGACCCTGGCTGCTCTGAACCTTCAGGACAAATGAAATGATCAAATATAGGGAAGTGCCATTCATCCCAGGAATGGCAGACAGACACAGACGCAGGGAGCTGGAAAAGACACATGGCAATCCCAGCCTTTCCCTACTGTGGTCCCATCAGAAAAAGGAGAGCAAACTTATTCCAAAGGATGATCTCTAGACTTCTGTGAGTCACTGTCATGCATCCAATTCATGAGCTCTGCTGGCCACTGGAAGCTGGAAAGAATGCACCTAAGGAAGGGTGTGGAACCACATAATGGAAACATTAGTGAGGGAGTGGTCAACGGTCAATTACCTGTAAAATGTACACAGACGGTTAGCAGGAAACATAATTGCTTGGAGTCTCTCTATGATGTCTTGGAGGTGTGGTTGTGGCAAAATACTGGTTTGCACAGTTGGGCGCTTCATTTTAACCTTGCAGTGTTCCTGTTTTCACATAAACATATAACTCATATTTAAAGGGAGTCCATCTGACTCCTTAGAACTGAAATAAAGTTTTATTAGCCTAACAGTTTCACCACCAACCCCTCCTCCAAACCAAAGAATTCTAGCAAACTCTTGAAGGTAAAGGCCCTCCAGGTTACCTGGTCTCTAAATGGGCCATATGAGCTTGCTCTGGACGCTGATGGACTTTCACTGACCATATAAAAGAGCTTGCATTTGCCTCTGGTGCCAACTCCATCACGGTTGGTAGCTACAGCCTTTGGGAGGCCCAAAGGGCCTGTGGAGGCCACACCTCTTGAGGCCATATCTCTAGTGACACCAACACAACCTAATGAAAAATCAGGCTACCACCCAGATAGATGTCTTGCCCACAGGATATTTGGAAACAGTTGGATTGGGGGCACAGAGTCTACAAGTAAGCCAGATGTTGGATTAGATTATTCATGCTTCACCTTACGCTGCTAGGATTTGTGATGGCAAAGTCAAAAGCTATTTGCATCCTCCTGGAGAAGACCCATTTTCTAGATTAAATTTGGTAATGTCAAAAGAAAGGGCCTGGAAAGTCTTAAGACTGTGAAAACACAGAGCTGCCAAATTGTATAAATTGCTTCATATATTAATATCCAGGTGATTTGGAAACTAAGAGTTTACTTCTCCTTAAGATTTTGTCACCAAAACTGGTAGGTCCCATACTAGCCTTCGGTGTTTGGGGGACCAATTCCTTAGAATGGGCCCAGGTAAGAGAACCAAAGACTAGGACCGGAAATCAGATGCCACAACTGAGCAGAAATGAGGGCTGAAGAAAGGCTCCAGGGCTGCCTTTCTGCCAGGACCATGCATTATGGGCACGGTTTTATCCTATGGATCATTACTCTTTCATCTCATTGGAACTATACAGGAAGCACTGACAGAACCTTCCACATAGCCATCCAGCCAGCTCTTCATTGGCTGAGCAAACATTTCCTAAGTACCTACTCTGCAGCAGACTCCACGCCAAATGATGAGGATTCAACAGTGAACAGGACACAGCGCTGCCCCTCGCAGAGCTTACGATCAAGAAAGATTGATCCTTGAGACACAGAGCCCAACATGTGAAGGACCACCTTTCATTCAGTGCATTTTCCGGCTCGTAAGAGGTAGATGAAATGAAAAACAAATGCATCCAAATGAAAACCAAAGTCCCCTCCCTTCTGGAAACATTTAGGTTTAGAAAGGACAGAGTCTACAGTTGCATCTTCTAATGATGTTACACAGTTTTCCTTATCAGTGATCTTTAACCAGCGAGGAGGATGCCCACAATATCTCCTTGGGGACAGAGAGCAAATTGCCATCTTCCAAGAATCAACAAATGTTACAAACCCAAATTTCAGAGCTGTCAAATGACATCAGGCACCCAAATTGTAAGAAAGGGAATAACCGATTTGGGGACTGTACTATGCAAACCAAATGAAAATTTCAGGAACCACATATTTTACAAATGAAACCACAGTACGCCGAATACTTTCATTTTACATTGTTCATATCAATAAAGTGCCATTCAGAATGCACCGGGTTATTAATGAATGGGTTTTGGTTTTTATTCAGCCTCTGAAATATAGTGCTCGATGGAGCAAATCTAGGCGAATCAGGTAGAGCTTTGCAAGGATACCATTTCTTTGCTGCATTTGTCTGTCGAGCTTAGTTGAAATTGTGTTTGTTTTTTTCTTGGCAAAATTTGCATTTGAAATAAAGCACGTTGTCTTAGTGATAATTTTCTTTCCAAGGTGTTAGAGGCGATTCTGCTCACATCTTGTCTTTTCTGTCACTTAAAATTAATTTCTCCATTCCCCATATGAAAAAGATTTTAACAAGCATTTACAAATTCTCAGAATATTAGAAATCGCCGTGTGATGAAAGGATTTTTTTTTTTTTAATTATACAATCCCAGACTCACTGAGTTGGAAGAGAATTTAGTGGGGAAATTATCTGGCTCTGTACCCTGCAATCAATACAGGATAAACCTCATACCTTGTATACATGATGTTGGCTTACCTGGCCAAAGATTAAGCAGAATTAGTGCTTCAGCAAGGCAGGTACTCAAAATGAGGGGGAGGGAAATGAATGGGAGGTTGGGGGGAAGATGGAGACTGTTAAAATATCATTTGATATTTAGTGCAAAAAAAGTAATGTAGTCGCCATGGGGTGGAAGTGAGGGAATTGTCTTCATTTTAAGCTACATATGGAGTAAGAGGACACTAAAATCTTTTTTAAAGTTTTTACTGTAGCTCTGAATCTATGCCATGACCATTGTTACCACATAGGTATAGGGATCCCCATTTTAGGACTTGCAATCATCCAGACCTGGATTTGAACCTCACTTTTACCTCATTCTAGTTACTTTGGACAAGTCATGTCCCCTCTTTGAGCCTTATCTGTGAAATGAAGAGAAGATCTAGTTTATGACGTGACTATAGAGCTGAAAGGAGAAAGTGCCTGGCTTATACCTGCATGACACCCTACGAGCATGATGGATTATTATTTATTTATATACCTCTGTCTAGATCTGAGCTGTCCAACACAGTAGCCAGTAACCCAGGTGGCTATTTAAACTGAAATATAATGGGGCACCTGGGTGGCTCAGTTGGTTGAATGTCCGACTCTTGATTTCAGGTCAGGTCATGATCCCACGGTCATCGGATCGAGCCCCTCATTGGACTCAGCACTGAGCATGGAGCCTGCTTAAGATTCTCTCTCTCCTTCTACCCCTCTCCCCGGCTCGTTCTCTCTCTCTCTCTAAAATAAAATAATAAAAAATAAAATATACAGAAATATAATAATTAGAATGAAATAAAATTTAAAATCCAGTTCCTCAATTGCATTAGCCACATGTCAAGTCTCAACAGCCACATGTGGCTAATGGCTTCTATATTAAACAGCACAGACTCAGAACATTTCTATCATTGCAGAAAGTTCTATTAGACAGCATAGGTCTAGACCATCCATCCATTCATGGATAACAATAATAACAGATAATAGACAGATAGACAACAGCCAAGAGATAAATATCTGTATTTATATATATTTATGTTTGTTTATTTATATGTAAGTAGAGAGAGAGATATGTACTTACTTAGGGACTGTTGTCTATCTGCCTATTTATTTATTATTGTCATCCATTAATGGTTGGATGGTGTATATATATATATATATATATATGACTAATAGGAACTAGGTAGATAAATGACAGGAGGGAGGAATAACTAGGAATACACTATAGATGTTACAGACTGACTTGTGCCACCCCCCCACCCCCGTCGCCCCAAACCTGTATGTTAATCCCCGATGTGCTGGTATATGGAGAGGGAGACTTTGGGAGGTAATTATATTTGGATGAGATCATGAGGGTGGGGTCCCCAAGATAGGATCAGTGTGCTTATACGAAGGGGAGGAGACACCAGAACTCTCTCTGCCATGTAAGGACACAGCAAGAAGGCAGCCAACTGCAAGCCAGGATGAGAGCTCTCACCAGGAACAAGAACTGGCCTGCACCTTGGGCTTGGGCTTCCCAGCCTACAGAACTGTGAGAAGTAAACATCTCTTGCTTAAGCCCCACAGTCTGCGGAATTTGGGTATAGCAGCCCCGGCAGACCAACACAGACAGTAAGTGTTAATGAGTTTTCAGTCTAGCTTCTTTTATTCATGTGAACCGGACTTTTCACCTTGCAACTGGTTCTGAAAAGAGATCCCCCCCCACCTCCCACCCCCACCCCACATGAGTAAAATGTGCCTCTCAGCAGGCAGCCGCCTGCAGCGGCTCAAAAGGCCGCCCCCCTGCCCCCCCCGCACCTGTGTTTATTTTTGCAGTGAATGGCCGCATGTCTCCTCCTCCTCACAGGTTTCGAAACTAGATTTTTCCTGTATACTAATGAACAAGCTGATACATGTCAGCTCTGGATGGGAGAGGACTAAAAAGCAAAGGGGGGTGGGGGGGGGGGGGTCTTTTCCCTCCCACTTCTAAGTTCGGGCTGCCACCTAGTGGGTCCCACCATGAGAGAAACAGGAGGGTTTTGTGTTAAGGACCAGAACCCCGGGTGCAAAATGTGCCCAGCAAACCCTACCAAGCAAAATGGTGGTGTCAAGTCGTGAGCTGAGCGCTTTACACACGTTATCTCACTTCATTTGAAACAACCCCAAGCAAGGGGTATTATTATGCACGTTTTCCAGATGAGAAAAGAGGCTCAGAGAAAGTGACGAACCTGCTTCATTGAAAGAATGCTTGGATGAATAAATGAACAAAGGAGTAAAATGAATGCAGGCTTAATTTACATGCAGTGTTCAGAGTTACAGAACCAGCTGCATTCAGATCAACTCTGAGATGAGATTAATAATCCTCGGTGAGTCTGTGAATGGACAGATGGAATCGCTGATACTGACTGATTCCTCCCTCCAGAGGAATCCTCCTTCCCGACCCTGCTGACTGTGTGACCTTCGCCGCTCTGGCTCCCCTCTCCCCCAGCTTGTGACATAACTCCTAGGAACTGGGAGTAGGAAACCGGTTGCTGTGGGTTGCGAATAGGAAGCCCAGTGTCGCTGTGTGAGTCACTGAGGAGTTACTTTATGAGGAGGGCGAGGCAGGAATGTGGAGCAAGAGATAAGAGGCTGCGCCAATCAGCATGAGGCCCATGAGGGACAAGTGGTGTCTTTGAACACAGCTTGTCCCCCCACTCTGAGTGCTTGAGGGGGCTGCTGTCACAGGAGACTGGCCACCCCTCCCTCCCCAACATGGACAGAGATGGACTTGGAGCCGGGGTGGAGCCCCAACCACATTTCCTCTCTGAGGATCAAAAGCTGCAGTGCAGCCCTCCATTGGCAGCACCGAGTTCCTTTCCTTCTAGAGACCTGGATGCCTCCTTTCTTAACATTTCTCTCATGTTAGTTTCTATTGCTTGCAACCAGAGAACCTCCGTCAGCCCCTCTTGTTACTTAAGCTAGTTAGAGCCACTCTGTTCCCCCCACACCCCCTACCCCACAACCAAAAGAAACCCTGAGATAGGTGGATTCTCAGCTCAGGGACTCATTTTTCGGGTTCCCCTCTAGTTCTGTTTCCTCCAGGCGCTGCGCACGCACCTTGTGTGAGCTGACTCCCTGGTGTGGAAGGTGAAGGCACCGGGTGGTGGGTGGCCACAGCCCTCCCTCAGAGGACCCACCTGCAGAGAGGCTGAGCCCTCGGCTTGTCCGCTGTGGGCGATGGGGTGCTGCCTGGAAGAAATGTGGTCGGCCCTCTCAAGAAAAAAGACTCACCTTCCTCCCAACTGGGGGCAGCTTCACATCTGTCACCTTATTTCTTGACCCCCACCAACCATCCTGTGAGAGCAACGTCTCCATTTTACAGATGAAGAAACAGGTTCAGAGGGGTTGGGTGACTTTCTCAAGGCCACACATCTGGTTGGCGACAAAATCAAGACACTGTTGAAAAGGCGGGTGTGCCAGGAGGCACCCATGTTCGCTTCCCGAGAAAGCGTTAAAGGGGTGATAGGCTCTCTCTTCCTTCTCTTCCTAGAAGTCAGGCTCCTGCGGGCCCAGATCCTGCCTGACTCCTTTGGCCGTAGAGTGGGGAACAAATCACTTGCATAAAGAAGTGGGAGGTTTTCCCATTACACTTGAATTTTGTATTTCCCTCAGGACTAACAGATCTGTGATGAAGAGGGTGTGGCATAAATAGCTGGTTTCATGTTCAGTAAAGTTCCATGTTCTATCTTGCTCAAAACAGTTACCACTGGAGAGGAGGGACTTCAGTCCCCCACCTGCAGGGTATTTTACCTCTAGATTCCCTGTACCCTAATTACCAGAAAGTAGAAGTCACTAATCTGATTGACCAGAGTCCAGAACATTCCTTGGGCCCCATGTTACCAGAGGGTAGGCTTACTAGATCTTATGTCAGCACATATGTGCTCCATGAAAGCCTATTTATTTCAGGGTACAGCCTTTGTGGCCAGGCCTGACCAGAAGCTTCTTTCCTGCCTCTGTCATGTTTGCAACGGAGTGGGCCAATCAGGCCAGAGGAAGAAGGAAGCCTCGTTTATACCTTCAGCCCAACTTCAAATGCTTCAGAGCAGCTTTCTCTTTATTTAGCTCAGTTATGAACAAAGTGGTACTTCTGTTTATCTGGTGGTGTGCTAGTAAATGTTCAACAACCAACACTTTGGGGGAGTGGAGATGGGTAGGAACAAACCTGATTTGTACATTCACCAGTTTCCACAGTGTAAAAACTCTCATGATGGCAAATATCAAAATACCAACATGACATTATCAGGAAGTAATGCACATTATTACACCGTTATATAGTATTTCCACCAACTATAGTGGTGCAAATAGATATAACCTGAAGAACACAGCTAGTTGTAAAATGTAGCAAAATAATTAGAAAGTGATGAATTTTGAATCTCTATTAAACTTAGTTGTAAATATAGTTTGTGAGTTGAAACAGTTTAATTTTTTTAATGTTCATTTCTTTATTTTGCGAGAGACAGAATCCCAAGCAGGCTCTGCACTGTCAGCATAGAGCCCAACACGGGGCTCGATCTCACGAACCATGAGATCATGACCTGACTGGAAATCAAGAGCTGGACGCTTAACCGCCTGAGCCACCCAGGCGCCCTGATGCAGTTTACTTTTTAATAACGGATGTCTTTAACAACCAGCTTACAAAATTCCTGAATTTTAACAATCGGCTCTCACAAGCTTTTCAAGCTGGCACCAGCACGCCACCGCCTTCGTCTATTATTCCTTGCATATGCTGTTCTCTCAATCAGGACTCCTGTCCTTTTCATCTGCCAATGTCCTCTTCTTTGGCGAGCGGTCTCTTCCATTCCATTTTATTCTGGAGGAGCCTCTCTTCCCTCACTTATAAAACACGCCAAGTGTTGTGCCTACTCCACAAGGCGATGGTGAGGATTGAATTGTTCATGTCAATTGTCTCTCTGTGCTTGGCACATGGTATGCAATTAATAAATAGGTGGCCAATCTTATGAGCGTGGTGGGGAAGGAGGTGAGTGGTTAGGGGTTCTCAGGGGGCGAGAGCTACTGGGATGGGGGAGGGGATGGGAAACAGGCCCCCACTAGATACATTGCCCTTGGTTTTCCCCACCCTCTCATTAAAATTCTCCGGCCCTTCTCACTGGCTTTGCCAACCTGAATTTTTCCAGGGTGAACAAGGGAGCTTCTCCAGCAACAACCGGCTTGGGGCAATAGAAATCTGCCTTCTTCCCGGGGAGGGGAGTAGGGCCTGGAATCCCTGCCCAGGGATAAGAGGACTCTTACCGGATCAGAGGTTACAAACTGCGGGACACACCAGCCTTTATTCGGCCGCAACTGCGTTTTCGAACCATTTGAATTCGCTGCTAAGATTTAGAAGCCAGGAACTTTCACCTAACACGGTGCTCCGCTCTTGCCTGGGCAACACGCCGCTGGAACTCGGGATCGGCTGCCCGGCACGCACCGCGGCTGGCTTGTCTCCACGGGGCTCCCTGCACGCTCTTCCACGGTTCCCAGCTGGGCCTTTCAGGCATGCGCATTTGCGTCCTCAGACACTCGGTCGCTGCTGGAACATTTGGGCCTGTGTATGCAACTTCCTGGCTCCTACCAGCCATTTCCCCATCTCCCCGCATCTGCATCCTCACACCACAGACGGGACCTGGTGTGATTCCCGATGAACCATCTCTGCTCCACGTACAGAAATAGGTCCCACCTATCTGTCCACTCCAGGCACAATTCCAGCAATTCCTCGTCTCCTCCATGATCACTTTTTCTCCCTCCCGACCACAGGCAGTCACTTCTCCCGTCTTTATAAAGAAAGCCTTCTCCACTCCGCTTGCCCTGCCAGTCTCTGCTCTAGTTCTCTGCTCTCCATGGCAGCTAGCGACCTCGGAAGAGTGTCCTCTACCCATGGTCTCCAATTCATCTCCCCCGCTTCTCTCTTAAACCAACTCAAGTCGGGCGTTAAACCCCTATCACTCAGCGGAAACTGCTCTTGACAAGATCACCAACACTAAATCCTTGTTGCCAAGTCCAAGAGTGAATCTCAGGCTCAGGGCTATTGGTCAAGAGCTGGCCACGCCCCCTCCTCGACACTTCCTTCACTTCTAAGATGCCTTTCTTTGCACAAAGCCCAAACGTCACAAATATTTGGCCATGTTCCACGGTGGCTGCAGGCATAGTGAGGGCACAAGGAAATCCAGATGCCAAGCATCAAAATGTTACACTCGATGAAGACTTGTTTCCTAAAATATTCTTTATTTGTGGGCTTGTGTCCTTGAGCTCTCGCTCCTCCTTGCCATAAAGACAGCACCTGGCCTCACGGGTGGTGCTACAAGCCATAGACACCTCTGCCCCAGCAGGGGGGAAAGGACAGGTGGGGCGGGGCCACAATGTGCTGCACCATCACTTCTTAGTTGGATTATTATGACAGCCTTCTTCCTGCTTTCCCTGCTTCTTAGTCTACTCTTACAAGCACGAGTCAGACACTATCACTTGGCTGAAAAGCTTCTAACTACTACATCCTCCACTGGGAGTAAAACCCAGAGTCATTGCCATGGCTGCAAAGTCCCATGTGGAAGGACCCTCTGCACTCAACCCTACCATGCTCCCTTCAGTCCTCCCGCTCCAGCCATCTGGGCTCTTTGCTGACCCTAAAACATCCCAGTATGCCCCCAGCCTCAGCCTTTGCACTGGCCCTTGTGCCTGGAACATTCCCCCATGTGCCACGTGGCTATCACCCTCAACTTCCTTCACACCTTATTTAAATGTTACCTCTTCTAGAAACCTTATTTGAAATGCCACCCTGTTTTCTTCTGACCCTCCTGACCAACCTTGCCCTACTATTTTTGTTTCCCCCTTAGCAGGTTATCTGTGATACCATATTATGATATTTATTGTCTGTGTCTCCCCAACTCCCAATCCCAAGAGTCTAGGAGGGTACCTGGTACATAATAAGCACGTGAATTTCTAGGAAGGACCATGGCTTTGATCAGATCATCAAAGAATTTTGTGGTCCAAAAGCTATCCGACGAAACTCTTCCCAGGACTAAAGCTGTTTGAAAACCAACTATCTGTTCCAGTCCTCAAAGACCCTTTCTGAGTAGGGGCACCACAACCAAATATGTATGGCCCTTGGCTTTTCCCAATTCCCTCCACTTGGAGGTGTTGGGGGGGGGGGTTCCCTGAATGCCAGCTGGGCAGCAGCTTCCAGACCCTGTGAGAGAGCTCCCCCAGCAGCAGCACAGAGAGCAGACAAACCAAGAGATTTACCACACAAGTGGGCACTGTATATGGAGTACATGCTGGGACCAATGAGAACAGCAGTAAATACAGAACAGAAAATAATGATCTTTGACACGACAACAAATGGGACACATTATCTAAGCACTAACACCTAAGGAGGCAGCTGCCCTAGCTCTGGGGGGCAGATCCTCAGGAGAGAGAGGCTGACTTCTTTCCAGGCTGCCTTGTCTTCAGTCCTTGTAACTTTTCATCTTTCAGTGCCTTCAAGAATTTATCTGCAGGAGAGCAAAACAAACATGGCTGTAGTAAAGATAAGGGCTCTTCTAACACTTCCAAAGTAAGCTTCTGGGACGCAATTGTGTGCTCCCTGCATGAGCCCAGAACCCAACATGGGTAGGAAAAAACCCCTAACAGCCAAAACATGTTTAAGTGGAGAAAATGTCGTAAAGAGGTCCAAGACTCAGCCTGTTTTCTGGGGATTTTTTCCGTGCCTTTGGGGAAGAGGACCTTACAGGGTGCCTGATGAGTTGGGGACCATTCTCATGGCCACATTAACCTAAACATTTAGGTTATTTCATACTCCCTTTCCGTGTGTGGCAGGGGAGCCAACTTAACCTGTATGGTTGTTTATAATAGCGGGGATAGTCCTTCTAGAACAATCTTCCCTCCTCCAGTGTTGAACTGCAAGCCTTAGCCGGAACAGGTGACAGAAAGTCTGCAGAACAGCCTATGGCTAGTGAATATTCTACAGTGTGAGATGTCTCATGTCAAGTAGAATCAAATTTAACTTTACCCTTCAAGAACAACCAGTCAGCTTGCATGCTAGAGGAATCCTGCCCACATCAGAGCACACCTGGTCTGCCCTCGTCCAGAGCCCTAAGACTTTAGATCTAACATCTAGAGTCCAAAACCCGGGTGAGAGGGCTACCAGAGCCAGGGCAGGGCTAGGGTTCACAGGGAGGTTACCTTCCAGCATTAAGAAGTGGAGGGCCCCAGAGGCCCTCAGTGAACTGTCCTTGGGCTTTCTGGGTCTTGCACAATTCCCACCTCTACTTACAGACACTCCAACTGCTATTCGCTTCCCCCTCCTCACATGGAGGACGGCAGTTGGAGGTAAACACTAAAGCTCAGGTCTCTAAAGGAAGGGGTTTGTGTGTGGCGGGTGATGGTAGTATTACTACCACAGGGGACGGGACAATTACGGTGCAGGAGGTATCAAGTGCAGGATGGGGTGGTGGTGGATGGAGGTTTGCAGGCTGAGAGTCCAGATTACCAGAAGGGCTCAGGATGGAGGGAGGGTGAAGTTTGGGACAAGAGTGTTCACGAAATCCTGACACTGATGAGGGAGGGCGTCGGTTGAAATCCAGGAGGAGTGAATCTGGGTGCTGGGGGCGGGGATTGCCGATCTGGGATCTGGACTGAAGTCTTAGCCGGTGGCCACATTGCCGGGGAGGGGATTTGGGGGGCATGGAGCCAAGGGGGGGAGCGAGTCAAGGCCGGCCAAGGAGGTCACGCACAGCGCTGGGGGTCGAAGCCGTCCCCAGTGATGGTGAGTAGCTCCAGCTCCTTAATCCGGATCTCCAGCTCGCATAACTCCTCGGGGTGGGAGGCGGAGGCGAGCCGGGGAGTCGTGGGGCAGGGAGCAAGGGGCGAGGCAGCCACCTCGGGCCCTGGCGGTGGCGAGTAGAAGAAGCGCAGAGGCTCGTAGGGTATGGAGGCCAGGCCGGAAGGCCAGGGCGGGGGCCAGGGACGCTCGCCGGGGGGCCCCAGGCCGGGTGGCGGCGGCAGGGGCGCCTGAGGGAGGGACCGTCCCCCCGGCGCCGCCCCGCCAGACTTCAGCGGCACGAAAAGCTTCTTCCAGATGTTGAAGTCGCTGAGCGGAGACGAGGAGACGCCGCGATCGTACAGGGACGGGAAGTAGAGGGGCGGAGCAGGCCGCTGGCTCATGGTGGGGCTCTGGCCGCCTCGCCGCCCCTTCGGCATCTTTTGAATGGGAGGCTGCGTGGGAGGAACCCCGCGCCTGGAGACGCGCGCCCCAACCCCGAGTCGTCACGTTCTGAGATTCCACAGGCCACGCCCCGGCGGAGCGCGGCCCCACCCCTTCGACCAGCCCCGCCCCCGAACAGGCGGGGTTCTGCGGGCCGGCTGGCCACGCCCCAGAACGTGCCCCGCCCACTGAGGACTGGCCTC